TTTCTCGAAGTATTTTTGAGTAAAATTTTGTCCAAATCGCTTGGGCACGATTGGTTCTGCCATAAGGGGCCATCGTCAAGAATAAAAAGAAAAAAACTTTCGGGCGAAAGCAATAGGCACCCCTAACGGGGGCCTAAAAAGGCACGCAAACTTGGGAAGGGCACAATACAGTCACCACGCATAACACTTCTCATACCCTTCCTTTGTGGGTGCGTGAGACGCGTGGAGAGGCGCGCAGAAGGGCCGGCGCGATGGGAAAGCGCAGCAGTATGGAAAATGCATAGCACGCGTCGCGGGTACGGCATCGCGACTGTACCCGGGCCGAAGAATGGCCATAGCAGCACACACGCTTATGCAGTCCCCCCAGATGAGAGTGAAGGTGACTGCCGGGCGGCCAGGTCGGGCCGCACTCGAAAGGGCGCCGGGGACATAACAGCTCACTGAACTGGAGGAGGGGGTAACAGGCGTCGCCCGCTGCCGACATCAAGCCATTTTGTAGGCTAGGAAAATTTTTCGCCTGGAGAGTTTAGAGTAGAGTATGATTCGGACGTTTGAATTTACCGTGGTTAAAACCATAGGAAGCGGATGTTGCTAGCGCCGTCTAGAGTGACGCGGTGGCGGTGCAAGGCGGGCGCGGCTCCGATGACGCGATCGCGGCGGCGGCGTGGTCCGCGGTGCGGGTGGAGCAGCGGTCCCCAGCATCAGACCGGCCAGCGCCAGCCAGGGGGACGAGCAAGTGTCCGAAAACCGGTTGAATGGCGTCCGCAACGGCGCGCCTATACGTGGTAGTGCGGCGGTAGTGATCGACAAGGGACACGTGTCTGAGAGAGAGAGAGAGAGACAGAGAGAGAGAGAGAGAGAGAGAGAGAGAGAGAGAGAGAGAGAGAGAGTCCTGCCAGAACGTGACGGACTGGATATCACTGGCCACTTCCGTTTTCCACGCGGGACGTGTCGCGCTGTCGGCGCCGCGGGTGGTGTCCAGTGTTGGACAGCGGCAGCACTATACGTCAATGAAATAACGCCGATTCTCATTCAGCTGTCTGCCCGACGTGGTCCGTCTGTCCAGCTCTCTGCGCGACGTAAGACAGATAGAGGCATTATTTGCCCCCCGCGGTGCGCGCATGCTGCGCGGCGACACACGCGCACGCGTCTCGCACTTTCGCGGCGCGCCTTTGGAACTGAAAATAACGCAGCGGGATACACTCGAGAAACTGGGCACAGTGATATTTGCACTCGCGACCGGAGTATACCCGACGAACAGCTGCGAGGTCTCCAACTTGTTTGATTTGAAAATAAGTGCGCACGGCGAGACTGATTTGGAGTTGATGTTGGGTATAAACCGGGTGTGTGCGGTTTCTCATCAATCCAATAGCGCGGCTCGTTACAAAGTAATGCAGAACCACAACCAGGAACACAAATAAAAAGAGGGTGTATAGTCTGATTTCATTAGCGGAACACGCCGCCTATCTCTGCGTGCCTTCGCGCACACCCGTGCGCGCGCCACCGGGGCCACCCGGCCGCCGCCGGGAAGGAGAGCACGAGGAAGAAACTGATGATGAGAGATTTAATACATCAGGTCAGGCCGCAAAACGGACGGGCATACGCATTTTTACTTGAGGGAAAAGGGAAAACTTTGAGGAACTTGCCTTGGTTTGTGGAAAACTCCTCAAATTTCAACGAGAAGTGTGGGACTGGACAAGAATATGTGTACTTAGGAATAACCAATCACACAATCGCACACAATCACGACACAATCACACACAATCTGACACAATGTTACAAAATATGTAACAATACTTTTCGAGAATCTGAAACAATATCAGAAACGTCAGACACAATCATACACTAATCACACAGAATGGACACAATCATACACAATCTGAAACAATCACACGGAATCTATAAAATCACACGAAATCGTAGACAATCACACATTATCGGAAACAATCACACAAAATCGGAAGAAATCATAGATTTTTTTTAAAAAATAGGTCCCAATATTTACTCAGAATCTGAAAAGATCAGAGACAATCATCTTCGACACAATCATACACAGATCTGGAACAATGATTGTCTGAACACAATCGTGTTTACTTTTTTGGCCCAGTTCCATACCCCTCGGATTTCAAGGACGTCTCTCAGACGTCGGATTTTTCCTCATTTTTTGAGAAGATTCCTCCCTCAAAACCTGAGGCGATATCTGAGAAATTTTCCTCGAATTGTAGAAGTTCCTTAGAGTTTTCTCTCTTTCTTCAAAAGAACAAACATTGTTTTCACTATGTGGCAAAATTATTATTCTCTTAACCGTTCACAGTAAAGAGATGCGCAGGCAACCATACTTAAGAAGAAAAATAGTGTCACGGTTATTGAAAACCAAAATGATCCCTTCGAGTATTCCATAGAGCACTACTCGCGCTCGTCCGGTTGGATGAGGAAGTGGCCCGGGCAGGCTCGCGCGCCCGCTGCCCTAGTGGTAATAATCGGTTTACGGACAGAACACGTCCCTCAGTGGCTCAACAAGACGCGCCGTGGGGCGACGGCGGCAGCGGGTATAATCTCGAAAATTATACCGCCGGTATACGTCAATGTCGATATCGTTACTACTGTGTGTACAGCCCAGGCAGGCGGCGTTACGTTCCCGGCGCGCCACCGCGGCCGGACTCACATCATATATATTTTTTCCGGACCGTTAGACATCTGGGGTGAGCGTATGTAGGAAGCCCGGTGCAGTCGGATGAGCACGCCGGAGGCAGTCGATTCCTGCTCGCACGTACCAAATACTGTTTCGGATTCGGTTTAAGCATCGCCGGGATTAAGCCGCAGCCGGAATTTCCTCAAACTAACCAGGCGAATGTTACATAACGCGCAGGGTGACACGAGCGTACAGCCGTACACGGATAAGAGCAAAAAGGTAAACCCTAAAAATTTTAAAAAGTACACCGTTCTCTCCCCAACACCACCACCACTTTCCCTCCTACCCCTCCCTTCACACACGCAAGTATGCGTACACCACAGTTGACTTACTCGCCTGCTCGCGTTTTGGTCGGAATGCGCGATATCATTCATCGCCCCAGACTCGGGGCGAAGGCGACTGAATGGCGTGTCGCAATGGCGGCGACACCACACGGCGACAGAACAGCAGCGCGTTGCCTTAAAACATTGGGAAACCGCACCTCGCTCGGCTTTTGCGTTCTCAACTAGTTGTTGTAGTGGTGGCGTGCGGGGGAGGTGTCAGCAGCCGGGCACAAAGGCGGCCGGCGTCGTGCACCAGGGGCCAGGGGGGGCTTGCACACATTTACCATGCAGTTTAGGACATTTTAAAACAAAATCCATCTCTAGCCTTCATGGTCTTGCTGTTGCTGTGCCAGGGTATTTCGATTCGATCAAGAGCAATAAATTTAAATAGTAAACTAAAAGCTTAGTTTTTCTTTCAGTTTTTCGTGGGTTTGAAAGGCAGGAAGGCGTGACCCCATCTTCATTTACGACCGACGCCGCCGGAGCGAGAGGTCAGCTGCTAACGTCACAAATTAGAGCTGAACCGCGCGCGTGGCTAGGACGCGTGACATCACAGCGACCCACCCACCCCGCCGCAGCCCGGAGGGCTTTTGCACTAGCATCACTACTTTGTGGTGACTGGGCGGGAGATTCGCCTTGAAGGGGCGTGTTCCTCCTGTCCCGCCGGATTGACTGACCGACAACTGACGGAAGCTGCGAAAACGCTGTCTACTCGACACCTTCCTCAAAGCCAATTCAATAGGCGGAACACCAACCTGAAACATACAGAAAAAGAAAAATGCGTTACACACGTGGTTCATGGATAGTTAAACACCATCCGTGACATTTTTCTTGTTTTCTTATACAGATTCTCGTTGCAACACGCAACAGACTCAAACCCACACGGACCACGTACCATTAGGGCTGTTTACAGGAACCACTAAGTTATTATTCAGAAAAAAAAGTGTACCACAATTTTAAAGCACAAACAAAATTTGCAAATTCAGGCAATACTATGGAAGGTATACGATATGGTTCTGGTTCTGACATATAGTGCCGCAAACTTTTTCTCCGTAGATTGATCAACGGCAAAAGAAGTTTCTTAAATTTCAAGACCCGGTCTTTGATCTTATGGAGACCACCATTGACATCTAAGACCAGGTCTTGAAAGTCAAGAAACTATTTTGTTACCGTGTGTCCTTTCACATGAAAACTTTTCCCGTCAGTATTTCTTACAACAGCATTAACATAATCATGTCGCTGGCGCAGCGCTAGACTCTGCTCGAACTACTTCTTCGGGCTATCCAACTGCAGGACTCCCGATGTGACTGCGCGATACATTATTGCTGTTCCCCGATACAACAACCGGGCAAGGGACTAGTGCCGCCCCGTCCCGCCCCTATCTATTTCAAAAGAATCGCCACAACCTTTTTCCTCGACGTATCGCTCCAACGGCACTAGTGCAGCCAGACACAGCGCGGCCGTCGCCACCGGCGCACACGAAACCAAACCGATCAGATATACATGTGTGTGGTGAAGCAGTTTCTACCAATCGGTTGCAGTGTTCGGAACCCCCCGAGGGTGGGGCGGGGCAGCGCGGGGGTGGCGCGGGCGGGAGTACTGCCTTGGACGCGTGGCGCGCTATGGAGCACAGGGGGAACCCATCACCCGCGGCAAAAAAGTAGTTGGGGCATAATTTTACGGCGAGGGTGGGAAATCACAAATCCAAGGCCGAAGAGGGAGCGGAGCAAGCGACTCGGCCAGACCAGGAGAGAGGCCGATGGATAAACAGAGGCCCACACCGGCCCACAGCCGGATTGAAACATCGTTAAAATGGGGAGTGCCACCGAATCTCATCTCCCACTAGTTTAGCTTTAATTAATTGCCTGGAAGAGGTCACAGTTCGTCACAGGTCAATGCCGGTCGGGTGAAGAAAAGCGCCTCCAAAAAGGTCAATGCAAGGAAACCCGCCGTCGGCGCGTGGCTTCTTTAACATTCGAGGGGTTCACAGTTCAGTTCGCTCCCCTAAAAGTGTCGGAAACCAGAGAATTCTAACGACTGCTGAAAGAGTCCTTGGTCAGACCGCCAATCCAGAATAAGAATTAGGAAGGAAATCGTAGATCTACTGTCTTACTCCTCGATCGTCGTCGCAACCAGGAAAACTCTATGCAGACTCAGAGAGCCGAGTTTGCGCTGTTCAGATAACGCTCACTCCCGCGCGGAACTGTGCAGGCCGTGTGCAGGCCGAGTGCAGGCCGAGTGCAGCAACGCCAAGCCCCGCAATTTCTTCTCAAAGTCAAGCCGTTTGAGGCCACGCCCACCGCGCCCGGGACGGCATGTGTTATGCATAGCGCCGCATGAGCTGCCGCTGCTGCAGGCCGGAAGGACCGTCATCAGGTGTGAACTGCAATAAGGCGCACTCAAATGGCGACATGGACGCATTGCTAAACAAAGACAAACAGTTACACTTCCATTATTTGCCATTGTTTCGGGCGCGCTAGCCTATAACTTGCCTCAAATTTTTATGCAATTCCCTTTTACGGGGCCACAAAGCTGGCGGATACTAACGCGCGCCCAGCAATTCGAACAGAAATGTCAAACGGCCGTAAACACAATCGCACGAAATTAATTTAGAGCGCTTGTCGGGCCGCGGCGCTCGCCTTTACGACCCGCGAATGGGAGGAAAGGATATCGCCGCGACGGCTTGTTTTCGATATCGGGGCGTTTTACGGCAGCGGATGGCAGCATAGAGCGAACGGCAGCCTATGCTATGGGCATTTATGCCATCGGACACACAGCACGGGCGGCCGGGCCGCGGCCGTTTCCCTCGCGGTGCAGCACAATGCAGTGCCTGGGCGCTGAATGTGAAGGCCGGGGCTGTGCCCCGCCGGCCGGCCGGGTGGGCTAAATGACCGCTAGGGCGCCAGATCCAGTTTGAATGAGGCGCGCCCCGATGATGGCATCACGAAGGCTCACGCGCGAGTTTTACGCACACGGTGCCAAGGTATCGGGTTGCCTCCGACGGCCCCAAAAGAGCAGTCGCGCGGCCATTTTATTTCGTTTTTACAAACTAGACCTGCTGCCGAAGAGCGGGGTGGCGGCGTGGGCTCACGCCCACACGGTCGTGAGCAGGCGTGCGAGAAGAGATACCGGTGCAGTCAGCTGTTGAAACCCTATAGCCTGCGGTGTAAATAAGGGCACAGCGCGCGCCGGGCTGTGGTGTAAATAAAGTGTCGCTCGCAGGACACCGGTCCCTGGGGGACGCCCCGATAGGGCACGACCCGGCAACGACCTCTCAGCGGCCCGGCGGCGCTGACAAACGGCTCATTGCAATGAGAGGGAAAGGCTGCAAAGTATAGAGTCATAAGACCGCAATTACCATCAGCGCTTTCCTCCGGGCCGTCCGGGACCGTCCCGCGCGCGGCACAGACCGTCCGGCCGCAGAATGTCGCAGACTGTCGCCCGACAGCGGCCAGATGTAATTTAGCCGATTTCCGCTTTTGTTGTTTTGCACCGCGGGTCGCCGCGCGCCCACCAAACGCTATGAGCGTCTTGGACTCTCTAGCACAAAACACCAGAATTTGTTTTAATTTTTTAAAATAAAAACTTTTTTCAATTTTTACGAAAATGCTTGTAATCAAGTCATTTTTGAAAAAAATGTCTGTTTTTACGTAGTTATTGTGCCATTGTGGAACTTAAGGTTAGTGTGAAGTCGATTTTCCTGACACTTATAATCGCTCATAGGCCAAACCCGTAATAGTTTCCTCTGATTTATTTCACACGAATTAACCTGCTATGGTTGAAAGTAAAAATAAACAAGCGTAACGCCTTCCTTGACAAATGTTGTCAACCTTCTTCACCCGTTTTTTGTTGTTTGGCATAATTTTAAATGTGTTGGAAATCAGATTTCCCTAGATAAGATCTGGTCTCATAGCAAAGTCGACCACGCAGCGAATGTTTTTTTTTTTTTTTTCATTTCTTTTTTTAAGCAACTAGATCTTTGTTGAATCAAGGCAAGGTAACTTTTGTATTAAAAAGGGTGCAAAAGAAGAACTTTCAACGACAAAAAATATGAAAGAACAGATTCTCTAACATAGTGATTAAAAATAAATTCCATTCCACAAGTGGCAAACAGTGAATACTTGAGCAAGAGGAAATACTGAGAAAGAAAATCAGACAGCGACATACTGCCACGCCATACTATGCCCTCTGCCGAGCCTCTATAACCCCCGGATTTATGAAGAGCTCGTGACACCGGGCGTGAAGAAAGAGTAAAGTGCAAAGTACCTTGCTCGTTTGGAAAGGACGGTTGCTGTCTAGCTGTTCCAACGGTAGTCTAAGTTAGGCAGGACTCGAGAGAACCGACCGCCAGCCAAAAGACAACTTTCTCGGTCTTGCGCCTCTCTTCCGTGCGATAAACGAAAAAACACAAAATTGTGCACACAGAGGAGCTAAACGCGACTGAAAAAAGGAGGATTCTCAAACTATGCACTTGCACCCAAGTATGCGAGAGGCGTGGCAGCGATTTAAAGCGCGGTTAGACTAATGCGGGAGTGTGTGAGCGCCGCTGCTCCGCTCACACGCACTTTATCGGTCGCATTATACCACTTTTGTGCCATAAGTTTTTGCGAGAGCGACGTGCAAATGAAACACTGTGGCGGCACACCGCCCTCTGATCTGATTCAGAGAATCGAGGCATGCTGCACAGTGTCGCGTAGTGGCAGGATGCCAGCTATTCGCACTACCAAAATATTTTTCCTCTTCTGTTGCAAACCTAAAGTTACTAAATTTTTGGGTAGGTCTGCAGATATCTCTTCTGAACTCGTCACTAAAATAGCAATATATGCAAAAAAAAATAGAAAAACAAAAAGTATTTACTGCCTTCTGCCTTAGAGGCATTACCACTGCCAATTGCACTTATTTTTCTCACGTTTATAGGGCTTTTTCGTGCCTTTACGAGGACATTGAATTGAAAATTTATATTTACATTTACCCCCTTCCCCACCTACAATCAAAAATATAAAAATCCAAACCAGTTCATTGGGCATTTGCAGCTTCGCTTTGCAAATGGCATTGCTTAGTGACGGGCGTTGGCTACCCTTGGGACTCTCCCAACAGGGTCCGCACCCATTCCTCTCGGGGGCTGGGCGCGAGGGCGAGAAAGCCGACGACGCACTCCGTCCTCGACCCCGCAATAATTTGCACTTAAATGTGTTTCTGCGCGAGAGTGTGTGTGTGTAAGTTACAATGTGAAAAGCGCAGCAGTGCGGATAAAGAGAGAAGGGTGGAGGAGGATGCATAGAGGATAGAGGATCATTCCCCATGCACAGAGGATAGAGGATCATTTCCCCTGCACGCGGCATAAATCGTCCAGCCGTCCGTCCGCCCGCTCCGTTTTCCCACCCAACCGGTGCACGTTCTATAAATATTTATTTTCGCCTCCCGCAGCGCGTCGTTACCGAGCGGCGGTCTTGACCCGCTGCGTGCTCCACCCCGTTCAAATACTCTACGCTCGGAATGCGTCCACACTACTTCAAGAACACGCCGCTACCAACTCGGTACATTTGATTGAGCTTTTTATTAAATAGTCGCCATGGTTCGCCTGTCTACATTGCACTTCGCATTGGTACTCATAGAACGGATCAACCGTGTGTTAAATGTGAATGCATGTGGAAAAAGGGCCGTTCCCGTTAATTGAAGAAAATCTATACTTGAAGTAAATCTGGCTGTTACACAAACGGACTCCTCGCGACTGTATACTAAAATGTTT